TTTTGCTATGCTCTGATAATAATCTGCAAACTTAGCCGTAAGTGCTCAAGTTAATGAAAATGGGCTCCGCTGAGATTACTCATGGCTGTTAAATGCTTTTAGGTGGGGATGGGGTGGGGATAGAGGAGAGGCATCTCATAAGGTATTTCTAGGCAAGATGAGGTCCCTGGGCAACCCACGGCCGTTTCTTACATTTATACATTTCTTACTTGATCAGTCATTCTTCAGATATAAATACACACGATTTTTTTTTTGGCTCTGTGAAAAGAATCAACTCTTCATAATCTAGGCTGCAAATGCAAATTGGCACCCCACAGATGAAATCTGGCTGCAGAAGCAATTTATTAGGTCTTCACAGTGTTTGCTTTTTTAAAACCTTAGTTGGTTGCCAACATTAAAAACTCAGAAGACTTCACACAAAAATGCAAACATCTAGCTAATCCTGGAAACAGGATAACTGAGCAACTCCCGGCTGACATTTCTGTAGGGCAGTCATGGACGAGCACGAGAGCAGTAGCAGCATGCTTAGAACAGGCCTCACTCACGCCCAGCCTGCTTCACCTGTTGATAGATACATCTTGCCTGGTCTTGCACTTCCTTTCTTCCTCCATAGCCAGCTAGCAGGTTAACTCTCTTATGAGAAATACTGCTAATGTCATGTTAATATTTGTTGGAAGGGAGGAGGGAGACAGATATGCCAAATAAATAAAAAAGAAAAAATAAGCCCCACACTAATCCCTTGCATAAAATTCCCGAAGTTTCAGAACAGAAAGCACTATGTTTACAGTGCTTTTTTTTCAAGATATTCTTGAAGTCAACTATGGCTTTTACTACGTGCAAAAAGTTTATTTGCAGCTTGAATACTGAGGATAAAAATGTAATCTATTTCGAAAAGGTGATTAGCAAGAGAATTAGAATTCTGGATTCTCATGGATGAATTTTCAGTCATTATTTTTTGTCAATAGAATTCTCAGTAAAGACAGTCCCTGAAAAAAAAAAAAGAATTTACCAATACACTACTTTGAAGTCACCACCTCCACCACACCCCTGCCCCAACCAATTTTTTTTTAGAGATGGAGTTTCATTCTTGTTGCCCAGGCTGGAGCGCAATAGCGCACTCTCAGCTCACTGCAACCTCTGCCTCCCAAGTTCCACTGATTCTCCTGCCTCAGGCTCCCAAGTAGCTGGGATTACAGGTGCTCACCACCACATCCAGCTAATCCTTGTATTTTTAGTAGAGAGAGGATTTCACCATGTTGGCCAAGTTGGTCACGAACTCCTGAGCTCAGGTGATCCACCCGCCTCGGCCTCCCAAAGTGCTGGGATTACAGGCATGAGCCATCGTGCCTGGCCCCAACCAACTCTTACTAAAATAAATGGTAGCTTCCATTTCTTTTTTTCAACAGTCATATGGACAACTGAGATGCTTTGTTCAAAAAAAGGTGGAAGTGGGGTGAAAAGAAAATGTCCATATTGACACAGATCTGTACTCCATTTTAAGCTGTAGGTTGAATGATGTAGTTTGAGGCATCTGTGCAGCTCATTTTCCATGAAGAAAAGGTCCTTCTTGATTACCACCCCTATTTCCCCCAGGCCCTGCCTTCTTCTAATCATGTTTACAGCTTTAGGAAAAAAGATACATGTTGCTTCTCACTGAACTGTAATGTACAGTCCAAAAAAAGATTGTCCAGGATTCAGGACTAAAGCAGACTTGAGAACAAACCTCAAATTCCTTCCATGCTTCAATAGGGCAAGAAATGAGAATTAGAAACCAACTCTAGATATAAGAGCTCCTAAAACAACAGCAACAAAAAACAGTTTTTTAATACTGGAACTGGCACATCGACCAAATGGTCTGCTCTGCTCCAAGTGTTTATTTAAAGCAGAAATAGCTCACAAGTGATTAATAAACAGAGAATGGAGGACCATAGAATGTGGAAGTCATGTTAAATCACATGCGGTTTAAAATGTGTTTAGAAACAAGCAGGCACAAGCTTTCTCATGATTTAAGAGAAACCCTTAGCAGTATATCAAGACCTGCAGGACAAAAAAATTAATTCTATGAAAGTGCCTTCTTTTAGTGCATGTAGTGGTTTATTTAGTGGCTTCAAGAACTGCTACACTTTCCACTATGTTAACCTCTCTGAAAAACTGAGAGTGCAGATAAAGATGCTGCTAAGACATTGCCCCTCTTAAAGTTGACTGACAAAGAAATCTACATCCCAGATCAGATTTTTTCACTTTTGATGGAAGTGGTCTCCATTAGAAGCTTATGTCCTGAAGGTCTTACATCTTGGAAAAGAAAGAAGTGGCCTCAAGGCTTAATGCTGCTAAGGATCAACTGGCTGTAATGTTGGCTGCAAATGCCAGTAGAGATTTAATTAACTGGTTTTGTTAGGATAGTTATTATTTTGTTAGTGTTGTGGCACAATGTACAAAATTCCTTAAGTTTTGAGTAATCTGCCTCTGCCCCTATTTTCCCCTTATGCCTCTATTTTTTGGGTGCAGTTTCACAGACAGTGAGGCTTTTCAGGACTACCTCTATGGCATTCTTTTTTTTTTTTTTAAATTTTTCATTGCATTTTAGGTTTTGGGGTACATGTGCAGAACGTGCAAAATAGTTGCATAGGTACACACATGGCAGTGTGTTTTGCTGCCTTCCTGCCCTTCACCCACATTTGGCATTTCTCCCCAGGCTATCCCTCCCTAGCTCTCCCTGCCGCTGTCTCTCCCCATTCCTCCCAATAGACCCCAATGTGTAGTACTCCCTTCCCTGTGTCCATGTGTTCTCATTTTTCCTTACCCGCCTATGAGTGAGAATATGTGGTATTTCATTTTCTGTTCTTGTGTCAGTTTGCTGAGGATGTTCTCCAGATTCGACCATGTCCCTACAAAGGACACAAACTCATCGTTTTTGATTGCTGCATAGTATTCCACGGTGTATATGTACCTCTATGGCATTCAACCTGAACTTTTCATACTCTCATTCTGTTGGTCTGCTCATATGTCACTATGCAACATTACAAAGTATAGTGGCTACAGCTTTCCATAGTTTGGGGTATTCTTTAGTTGGTAACCCAGACATGTAGTTCTTAAATAAATGGCTTGTTAGGATGTCATTTTATTTATTTTTAGAGACAAGGTCTTGCTCTGTTGTCCAGGGTGGAGTGCAGTGGCACAATCACAGTTCACTGCAGCCTTGAGCTCCTGGGCACAAGCGAATCTTCCACCTCAGCCTCTCAAGTAGCTGGGACTACAGGCATACACTGCCATACCCACCTAATATTTATTTTTCATTTTTTATAAAGATGGGGTCTCGCTACGTTGCTGTATTCGTGCATTCTCACACTGCTACGAATACCCAAGAGGTTCTCTATTTAAAAAAGAGGTTTAATTGACACACAGTTTCACATGGCTGGGGAGGCCTCAGGAAACTTACAATCATGGTGGAAGGCACCTCTTTACAGGGTGGCAGGAGAGAGAGAGTCCTGAGCAAAGGGAAAAGCCTCTTATATAATTATCAGAACTCATGAGAACTTACTCACTATCACTAGAATAGCATGGGGTTTACGGCCCCCACGATTCAATTACTCCCACCAGGTCTCTCACACAACATGTAAGGATTGTGGGATGAGACTGTATAGGGGAATTCAAGAGGAAATTTAGGTGGGGATGCAGCCAAACCACATCAGTTGCCCAGGCTGGCCTCAAGTTCCTGGCCTCAAATGATCCTCTTGCCTCAACTTCCCAAAGTGCTGGGATTATAGGTATCTGCCACCATCCCCAATTTAGAAATTAATTTTACATGCCTTCCAGTATTATGCTGCTGCTAAAAATGCAATTCTAAAAAGTATACCCAAAACACCCCAAAATATTTATGCAATATGACATTAATTAACAAAAGAAGAATTCAAAATATATACACTATAAATATAACAATGTAAAAAATATATGCAGGTGGGAGGTAACAAGTTAAAACAAACTGTACTAGAGTAGGGTGACTTTAAAAATAAAATCTCTTATTTCCTATATTAGCTATTTGCTACAAATGTTTGTTCTTTTTTTTTTTTGGCCTGGGATTAATCATCAAAAGGTGGAGGTTTGTAGAAAAATATTTAATATCCACAAAATGAACCAAAAATGTGGCTGAACATTCTAGCTTCATGACTTCTTTTTTTTTTTTTTGGGGGGGGGATGAAGTTTTGTTCTGTTATTCTGTTATCCAGGCTGGAATGCAATGGCACAATCTGGGCTCACTGCAGTATTTGCCTCCCAAGTTCAAGCGATTCTCCTGGCTCAATCCTAAGTAGCTGGGACTACAGGTACATGTCAACCACTCCTGGCTAATTTTTTTTGTATTTTTAGTCAAGACAGGGTTTTGGCATGTTGGCCAGGCTAATCTCGAACTCCTGACCTCAACTAACCCACCTGCCTTGGCCTCCCAAAATGCTGGGATTATAGGCATGAGCCACTGAGCCTGGCCTACATAACTGTTTTTCAAGTCAAATGTTTTAACATGTTAAGAGGCTAACATGTAAAAAAAGTAGCAATGAAGTGTTGGTTAAACACTTTTGAGTATTATTTGATTTAAACATTTCTTTCATATGGCACCAAGAAATGGCTTAAGCATTCTCAGGACTGAGAAATCAGGATGGGATCTTGATACCAGGGAGCTTAGGATGAAAGCCATTTTTCTAAAACAAGGTGCTTTCCTGGCATGTGAGGCAAACACTGGGTTTTACAAGATCATTAACTGAGGCAGTGCCTTTGACTTGGCATTATCTACTGTGGCAAGAAGCAGCAAGGTCATGATAGGCTTCCTGGTGGAATACCCTTGCTTTTTGGAATTAAAATTCCCACCAATTACTCACATATCAAAGTTATACACTAGCTAATAAACATGAAAGTTTTCAAGCAAATAAAACACATGTATCACAAAGTCATTTCTTTAAAAGAAAACACAAAGAAGAGAAAGAGAAAAGAAGCTGATGAGAGTGAAGCCTGATTTAGCAGGGAAGTTTATTCGACATAGTGCATGATTCAAAGCATCTGATAACCCATAGCTGACAAGGTTTCCTATACCCAATTACAAAATACCAGACACCCTGAATATAGCTAATTCAAGGTCCTCATTCTCCCCTATACCTAGAATTAAGCAGGTTTCCCCATTTAGCACACATTTCACATTCACTGAAGGCTTTGGGGAGAGGAGGAAACAGAGCTTATGACCGCCCCTCTGAACCAAAGGCACTTAATATTAAAAGATAAAGCACAGTTGAGTCACCCCACAGACATTCCTGTGTGTTCAATGGCTGAACTTCAGCATATCATCACTGGCCCATGTGGGATTCATCATAACAATGTAAAAGACACTGATTTCCTTGGAAAAGCAAAGTGCAGTATGAATATAAAGGAGTCACCACCCCTCCTTTTCTCAAAATAATACATAAGAGAATTCCTACTTTACATGATTAGTATCACCCAAGGTTCACACATGGAAAAAAATAGCTAAAAAATAATCTATCATAAATTCTCACTATGAAGTCACAATAGAATCTGCTATCCTCTTTAGAATTGGTGAGTTAGACAGAACCATGCTGTCCATCCCCCCATTTGATAGGGGAGGGCACCTGAGGCCCAGGTAGGTCAAGTGTCGAACCTGGGGTCTAATCCCTGTGGCAAAGCCTGGGTAGGATGCCAGCCTTCTGAAGGTTCCCTCCACTCCCCTTCCTCTTTAAAGACTCTCCAAAGTAAAATAAGGCGATGATCTCCAGAGACGCAGCACACAATAAAGCACATGCACTGACCCAGGTCAGCAATTTGGTCTCGCAAGACGGTTCCTTTGGCCATTGGGCAGGTATGTAACCCATCTCAGGGTGGGAATTCTTTGAGTGAGATTGTTCAAAGTTCTGAGGACAGCCCAGTGTAGGCTAGACATGACTCCTTCTTGGATTGGGGAAGGCTCTTCTTGGCTGTCAGTCTATGGTGGGCAGGCGGTCGGCTGCACAGCGGAATCCCAGATTCGAAGCGGAGCTATCAGGTGTGTTCTGGCTCCGAGCAGCACAGCGATATCTGTAACAGTAGGACTGTGCAAAGAGAGAAAGCAAGGTAAGTGCTCTTAGGACTCTCAGCCGAGGGCTCTAAACTGTTAGATGCATGTTGCACAAAAGCACCAGCTATAGACAGTACTTCCCCACAACCCTTCCTGTATGGATACTTAACATGTATGCTTTAAAAAGGGCAGCACATTCAAGAATTAACCATGTTTTCCAACGTCCTTTACCTTATAAACATAACACAGATATGGCACAAAGATGTTCAACATTAATTATAACAGCAAAAAAGAAAACGTAACAACCAATGGTTGCCTAAGTTTAGGCACATCCATATAATAGAATAGTAAGTAGCCACTCAGTCATGATTTTACATGATATTTAATGACACAGGAAGTTTTCATGATAAAATATAAAATTAGGCCAGGTGCAGTGGCTCACATCTGTAATCCTAAAACTTTGGGAAGGTGAGGTGGAAGGACTGCTTGAGGCCAGGAGTTTGAGGCCAGCCTGGGCAACACAGCAAGAGCCCCATCTCTACAAAAAATTAGATGAGTATGGTGGTGTGCACCTATAGTCCCACTTACTTGAGAGGTTAAAGTGGAAAGATCTCTTGAGCCCAGGTGTTTGAGGCTGCAGTGCACCGTCACTGAGCCACTGTGCTAAAGCCTGGTTGACAGAGCAAGACCTTGTCTCCAACAAAAAAAAAAAGTTAAATGAAAAAGTCAGAATATATGCTGCATATGTGGTATGACTCAGTGTAGATAACTACATATGCCAAGAAAAGAAAAACAGAAAGATTCAGAATGCACCACAATGTGCACAGTAGTTATCCCTCAAGCAACCTGGGTTTCATATTTCCTATAGGAAAGCGATGCAATATTCTTATACAATAAGTATATTAATTTCTGAAATTAAACCAAGTAATAAGTGATAGACGGCAACTGAAAAAATATTAAGAACAACACTAAGATATCATTTAATAACTAAATAACATGATATCATTTACTAAGTCATATTTATGATATCATTTAATACTAAAAGATTGGCAAAAAATTAGACAACAAGCCTAGAACATCAAATGTGGGAATGGCTGTGGGAAAACACTGCTTTTTAAAAATACATAGCTGTGGGAGTTTAAATCGTAGTAATTAATAAAGCTATACAATGTTGTGTGCGGTTTTACATCTGCGTTATAAAATAAGAGCCAGGCACAAGTACACACATGCACACCAACAGAGACCTTGAGCGCCTAGTACATACCAGACATGGGGCCAGGTATCTTCATCTGTTATGCCATTTGATTGCAACAGCCCAGAGAAAATGACTTACCCAAGATTACACAGTTATTAAAGAAAGTAGAATTCCAATTCAGATCTAACTGTGGTGTGCTTGTTTCCTTGCAAGATTCTACACTCCCAGAGGGAAGGATACCACTTCTCACATCTTCTTTCTCACTGCCCAATACACAAGCCCTGCATGCACTCAAACACTTGCACACACATAACAGCTGAATGCATATATCCCTGGCTACCTAGCAGGTATTCAGTGATTGACCACAAATTACTTCAAAAGCCTCCACATGCCAAAAATAACCACACATGAAACTCTTGTGCCCTAGGATTATTCTCCGACCCAAAATAATGGAGAATAAAAATAAATTAGTCATTCTGTGTGCCATGAGCTTAAATTCTGAGGTGGCCCAGTGCAGCTCAAGTCCCTGCAAGCTGGTTAAAGAAGTTTCACAAAGAAACATGTGGAATAACTTTGGATCTATGCAGAAGTGATAATGTGGAGTCGGGGGAAGATAAGTCAGCATGCAAAACGTTTTTTCTTTTCTGTATTATTCTCTTTTCTTTCAGAAAAGTAAAATGCTTCTTATCTTTATGAAAAGTAGCTCTAAAGTTGACACAGAAATCTCTGGAGCACTTCTACCATAAAAAAGAAAGACAGTGCTCTGTTTTCTATAGACAGTGAAATGATAACAACCAATTTTCTCATTTCCTTGTGGTCAGTGAAGAATACAACATTAGCAATTGTCAGGTAGACAAAAGGAAGATCAATTTAAAATGTGCTAGGAATAATTGATACATTGATGGCATCTACCACTATGTGTAACCTGCATGCAACGGAAGCTCTCAAATGACTAGCGGTGACCATGCAGGAAGACACAGCAAAAGCCTCATTCCACGTAGAGCCTACTCATCGGGCTGTGAAACTACGGTGCTTTGGTATTTCTAGAGTCAAGTTCCTGCAGACAATTCAGGGCCCCATGCAACCAAGCATGTGTAGTGAATTCCACACTACAGCAAACATCAGGTTCAGGGGGAGCTAGACGATGATATGACATTCTCATCCCATAAATGTACATGCATGACCAAAAACAGTCAAGTGTTTCCTGATTGCTCACTGAGTACGTCCACAGAAGAGACCTGAGTAGTATCATAGTCCTGTCTTGTTGGAGACCTCAGGCTGGTTGAAGAAGCCGATGATACATCAAACAGCTACAAAGCATGGAGAGGTAACAATTCTGAGGTAATTAGCAATACAGGTGAAGGAGCTGTCCCTTGTAGAATGCAAATGTTTTAGGAAAGACTTTTTTAGAAGGCCGAAATTGATGTGGGTGGGATTTCCATGATCATGGCAGTGGTCCTTGAACCTCAGCATACATAAGAACAGCAAGATACCTTGTTTAAATCCATGTTCCTAGGCCACGCATCCAGGAACTCTGATTCTGGAAGTCTAGTATGGGCCCCAAGAACATACTTCTAACAAGCTTCGAGGTGCTGCTGATGGTACAGGCCCATGGGCCACACTTTGAGTAACACTGGTTACAGGATTTAGAAAGGAGAAAAGAAGGCACACGAAGTGGAGAAAACAATGGCTTCAGAGGCATGAAGATGGAAACATTCAGGCAAGTTGAGAGCATAGCAAGGCCTCAGCCTGATCATGTCAGAGCATGGTTTAATTATTCATCAAATATACGAGAGCTTACAATATGGATGCTATTTTAGGTATGACAGATACAACTGGAACAAGACAAACAAGATACCTGTTATCAGGGAGCTAACATTCAACAGGGAATTGTCAGACAATAAAAAAACCAATATAGTCCAGATGGTTTCCAGGAATAGTCACCTTGGAAGGAAGGAAAACAGGGAAAGGGGACTGAAGGTGACTAGGAGCCTACTTTAGATAGGGTGATGGTCCGGGAAGGCCTCTCTGAGAAGATCACATGTGAGCTGAGTTGCCCAAAGATCTGGAGCGTGAGAATTCCAGGCAAGAACAATGACTGGCACAAGATGGTTAACAATAAGGAGGAAATGTGGGTGGGTAAATAGGATTGAGTCACATCACACACAGCCTTCTCAGCAGACAGAGGAGTTTGGACTTGATACACGTGAAAACTGTATTAGGTAGTACTGGTGCAAAAGCAGTCACAGTTTTTGCCATGGAAAGTAATGGCAAAACTGCAATTACTTTTGCACCAACCTAGTAACAACTAATATTTTGCTAATTTACTCACCAAAAAGGACAAAATCCAAGACTCATTAGCTATTTAATCTTAGGCAGAGCCTTTTTGAATTTGTTCCCTCATCAATAAAAGGGAGCTATCAATGGAATCATGTTAAAATACTTCATCAGCCAGGCGCAGTGATTCGCACCTGTAATTCCAGCACTTTGGGAGGCCAAGGTGGGTGGATCACCTAACAGGAGTTCAAGACCAGCCTGGCCAACATGGCAAAACCCTGTCTCTACTAAAAATACAAAAATTAGCTAGCATGGTGGTGGGTACTTGTAACCCCAGCTACTCAGTAGGCTGAGGCAGGAGAATTGCTTGAACCAGAAAGGCGGAGGTTGCAGTGAGCTGAGATTGCATCACTGTACTCCAGCCTGGGTGACAAGAGTGAAACTCCATCTCAAAAAAAAAAAAAAACCACTAAACTAAACAAAAAAAACTTGATCTTTGCCTTTACATATAAAAGGAAAGCACTAAGCAAGTGGAAGTCATTATAACTGCTACTATATCATAAATGTAACACTCTTAATCACAGAAACTAACTTTGCCTGTCTTATCTGACCTCTTTGGGGTAACTGGCTTCCTCACTAAAACAACAAAGGTATTAGCCAGCTTCTAAGCAGGTCTTTGGAACCTTGTATTCAACTGCAGAAAGATGGTAATGCCCCTGCCAGCATCTGAATGTGGATATACACTTGCTACATAAATGGGAAAGTTAAGAAATCTCTCTGGTGATAGGGCATAGGACTTAGGTTTTTGTTGAATGGCATATTTTTACGTGTCACTTATCTCTTAAATTACATAAGAAACCATTTTAAAATAAGATGCTGTTCATATGCCACAAAACCTAGCATATAACAGCTAAAATGAACTGTTGGGACCTGCCCAAGGCACTGTGTTGATATTCTATGGCTGTAATACAGGATAGCAGAAAAGAAATCAAGGATATGCAAGAGATTATTCCCAGAGCCATATCTGAAGACCCTGGTATATAGAGAATAATGTCATTCTTGAAAGACAAAAATTAAATACACAAAAAAGTTTGCTGGAATACTATCCTATCAATTGTTTTCTTTAGGAAGCATAATGATTTTGTTTTCATTTTGATCTTTATTATATATTTTCTAATTTTTGTGCTATGAAAATGTCTTCTTTGTATAATAAAAAAGTTTAAAATCAGTGCCCCTCCCTTCTCCACCACCGAAAGTTAGTTCTTTATTAGATCACAGCAATCCCTGAGACTGTCCATTAACCAAAAGGATGATAAAGAATTAAACCCTAAAAAGCAAGACTCAATACAAAAGTTAGTGTTGAGAGGTCAGAGCCATCACTTAAGAAAACAGTCAATTCACACCATGATTCCATTTCAAAGACACTCATTCACTTGGCAACATTTATTAATAAGTTGTTCATTTGAAATTCCAACTAATAAAGCACATAATTAAAAAGGTAAATGGCTTCATTATAAATGTCCTCATTGCTCTTTATTTTTTTTCCAATTTTATTTTTAGTGCCAAAAGTGGTTCTTAAGGATGTGAGGTCTTTCGGTGGCTGAAAAATGGGTCATTCTACTAATTAAGAACAGGAAAAGTGGGAAGGACCTGTTTTAGTCCTATTTCATCAAGATGGCTAATTACTGTGTGAAATTGACCTCCATGTCTGTGCTAAGAATGTGATCCTAAACTTGGGAACAATCCATTACCAGCCTTGGGGCTTCAAAGTCAAGTGGAACAGAGAAGAAAACTTTTAAGGACAAAAGGCATTTAAAAAATTATTGTAGCTCATGTTAAACAAAATCATTATCGAGAACTGCACAACAGAACTGAGGTCTCAATTTCCCATCCATTGCTCTTGCTTTTCATCTTGGTGGGAAGGTGAGGATCTCCTTAATGTTGTAGGATGGGCTAAAAACCTAGAGGGATTAATCTAACAACATCAACAATGAGTATTTCTTGAGAACTTACTATGTGAACTGTTCTAAGAACTTCATATGTATTAATTCACTTAATCCTCTCAATAATCCTATGAGGTAGGCATTACTAGTCTCTGCACAGTACTAGTCTCTGTGCTGTATACCTAAGGAAAAATTTAGGCACATAGATGTTAAAAGTGTGCCGAAGGTCACATGGCTTATAAATGGTGGATCCAAGGTTCCAGCCTATTCAATCCAATTGTCACTCTTAACCACATGACATGTTCATAGTTTTTCTTTCTGTGCCCCCATCTCCTTATTGAAGCTATACTTTGGATAGATTTTCAAAAAGTTATGAATGATCATCAGAATTTAGCCAGGCAGGCCAGGCATGGTGGCTCACGCCTGTAATCTCAGGACTTTGGGAAGCTGAGGCAGGAAGATCACTGAGATTAGGTGTTCAAGACCAGCCTAGCCAACTTGGTGAAATCACATCTCTACTAAAAATACAAAAATTAGCTGGGCATGGTGGCACATGCCTATAATCCCAGCTACTTGGGAAGCTGAGGCGGGAGAAGTGCGTGAACCTGGGAAGTTGAGGCTGCAGTGTTCCAAGATCATGTCACTGTACTCTATCCTGGGCGACAGAGCAAGACTATGTCTCAAAAAAAAAAAAAAAAAAAGAATTTAGCCAAACAAACTGGTGTTGGCCCATGATCAAAAATATGTTACCATCTAAGCAAGAAAAATGTTTTAAAAATGAATTACAACATTATTATTTTTACCAACTTTTTTCCTTTTACTGATTTTCACCAATGCCATGAACATTGCTTTTGCCTATCTAGTTGGGAGTATTAGTTGGTTCCTTCTTCAAAACAGAAGAGGGTAAATAATCTAATTATAGATATAAAGATGATGCTGATAGGAGAAACTAACTTTTACTGAGCCTTCACCGTAAGCTAAGCACTGTACCAAGAACTTATATAGGGTGGTTCATTTACTCCTCACCAGAACCTTATAATGGGTGCAATTATGGAATGTTACAAATATGAAAACTGAGGCTTAGAAAGATTAAGGAATTTGCCCAATGTCACATACCTAGCAAGAAACAGATATAGAACTCCAATCCAGATGTAATTTCCAAATCCACATCTCAGTAATTTAGTAAAAGCTGTCACTCTTAATCTACTGGAAAGGCTAAGCACTCTGAAAATAATTCACAACCAACACTGTGCTATTTTCCTGACCTTACAGATATAACCAGACTGGTGTAAAAGACCAACCTAATATACAAATCACTTGACCAAGATTCTGTAAGTGTCCTTTTTCTATGGAAAATCCTGTGGATCTCACTTTGTTTTGTCACTCTGCTATTCTCCTCTTCTGATATGTTATCCATATCATATGAAGCCTGACTAAATTAAAACATATCCTTCAGGTGAGCTAAGAAAAGATAAAAAATGCATGACATAAACTTTAAATCAACCACTAAAATTATAAAACAAAGAGTTACAGCTAATAAGCATAAGGAGAAAAAATGAGGTGATTAAGAAGTATGTAATCAAAAAGAAGACAGAGAACAAAGAACAGATGAGACAAAAAAATATCAAGATGGCACATTTCAACCAAACCATATCAAAAACCACATTAAATATAAATGTTCTAAACACCCAATGAAAGGCAGAGATAATGCCAATAAATTCAATAACTTAAATGAAATGGAAAAATTCCTTAAAACATACAAACTACCAGAATGTACTCAAGCAGAAGCAGATAAGCTGTAGTCCTACAGCTATGTTAAAAATCAGACCTACAGTAATAGAAAAAAAAATTGGACACACTTGCTCACAGCTGTAGTCCCAGCCATTGAGGAGGCTTAAGCAGGAGAATCACTTGAGTCCAGAAATTTGACTCTGTGTCTCTAAATCAATCAATTAATTAATTGTTAAAACTCTCAGCCTAAATGCATTCACCAAGGAATCCCATCAAACGTTTCAAGCATAATGCTAATTCTACATTAACTATTCCCAAAAAATTAAAATAAATTAATATTTAACAACTCAATCTATGAAGACAGTAATACTGTGAAACCAAAATCAGACAAAGATATTACAAGAAAACAACAGAATAAACTAGATGCAAAAATACTCATAATTTTTGCTGATCAAATCCAAAATATATAAAAAAGATAATACATCATGACTAAGTAGAATGTATTCCAGGAATGCAAGGATAGCCTAATATTTGAAAATCAATGTAATTCACCATATGAACAGACAGAAAAAGCAAAATCATATTATCGTCTCAATAGATGCAGAAAGCACCCAGCAAAATTTACATCCATTGCTGATTAAAAATAAAAAACATTAGCAATGGAAAAAACTTTCTCAAGCTGGTAAAGGGTATGCATCTAAAAACTGTGGCTAATACATACCTGATTTTGAAAAATTAAATGTTTATTCCCTAAGATCAAGAATGAGGTATGAATGTCTACTCTTACCACTACTATTCAACACTATACAGAAGGTTCTAGCCAATGCCATACAGCAAGAAAAAGTGATAAAAGGCATCTAGATTAAAAAAGAAGAACTGTTGATATTCACAGATCACATGATTGCCTATATGGAAAATATGATACCACCTACAAAAACATTACTGAAACTAACAAATGAGTTTTGCAAGGTTGCAAGACACAAGATGAACATACAAAAATCAGTACCATTAAGTGTATTTAATAAAAGCATGTATGAGATTAAAATATATTTTAAATAATCTACCGGGAAGCTTATAAAAATGTAGCTTACAGATAAGCTAAAAATTATAAAACATGAAATAGATACATTCATATGCATGGAACTGGGACAGTTAATGTTCTTTACTTGCTTAAAATGTTTTTTATAAGCTTCTGTTACCCCATTTATTCTTGATGAAAAATCTTCTGGTCCTCAATTACTTAGAAAGTAAATGAATTCTCAATTTAGAAAAGTGCCATATGTCAGAGACAAAACTGGTGGCAATTATGATTTTGAGATACTATCGTACAAAGGGAGATTCACCTGTTTTTCATGGAAGTCTGGTTTCCTGGCAGGAAGATTCAGGTACATTCATAGTAACAACTTCAGATAGAGAAACGACCTGGGATTAAAGACTCTGATGTATACATGAACATGTAAATATACTGGGAAGACCTGGGACAATGCTTTTAATTTAAAATTGAAACTAGAATTTTAGGCTGGGCGCAGTGGCTCATGTCTGTAATCCCAACACTTTGGGAAGCAAAGGCAGGAAGAATTTCATGAGCCCAAAAGTTCAAGACCAGACGAGGCAACATGGCAAGACCCCATCTCTACAAAAAATTTAAAAATTAGCCAGGGGTGATGCAGGTGTCTGTAGTCCCACCTACTTGGGAGGCTGAGATGGGAGGACCACTTGAGCCCAAGAGGTCAAGGCTGCAGTGAGCTGTGATTGTGCCACTGCACCTCAGCCTGGGTAAAGAGCAAGACGCTATCTCAAAAAAAAAAAAAAACAACAAATTTTATGAAGATAAATTTGTCTACATTTTGTTGTCAATGTAGGTATACATACCTACAAATTCACACATATATATATATACATATATAATTTAGAGAGTTTTTTTTAGGCTAGTGGTTTCCAAACTTGGCTGTATGTTTTTATCACCTTGAGAGCTTTAAAAAATGTTATGTTGGCCAGGCACAGTGACTCATGCCTGAATCCCAGCACTTTTGGAGGTTGAAGTGGAAGATCACAAGGTCAGGAGCTTGAGACCATCCTGGCCAACCTGGTGAAACCCTGTCTCTACTAAAAATCTAAAAATACAAAACATATCTGGATGTGGTGGCATGTGCCTGTAATCCCAGCTATTCAGGAGGATGAGGCAGGACAATCACTTGAACCAGGGAGTTGGAGGTTGCAGTTAGCCGAGATTGAGACACTGCACTCCAGCCTGGCAACAGAGCAAGATTCTGTCTCTGGAAAAAAAAAAAAGAAGGAAAAGAAAAAAGGTAATGTCCAGTTCACACGGAAGAAAAATGATGAAATCAGAATCAGGATGAATCAGAAGCCCGGCATCAGTATTTTATATAGATCGCAGGTGATTCCAGTGTGCAATAAAGCTTGAGAACCACTATTTTAGGACAAAATTTGATAATGGCATTATTATCAAATTAGTAACTTAATTTGGAGCCATTAGAGGTGGTTTTAAGTCTCTAACCACTTGGACTGAATAAATTACCAGGGGAAGCAACAACAATCTTCAAAATGCCGTCTCTGCACAGGGATGGAAAGCTGGGGTTCAGGAGATGCTAAAAATATATGACTCAAAGAAACAAGGGAAGGGATGGTATTCTATTTCCAAATTCCTTCTAAAGCTTATTTATGAAACATCAAGTCACTCCAAACTGACCAAGAAAGCCAGCTCAGAAACTAAAATCATAGCCCAAAGAGAAGAAACACTCTCTGAGAATGATGCTTATTACACAAGGCACATTTTATACCCAGAAAACGGGATGCTCCCATTTCACTGTATCACAATCTGTCCTCCATACATTCTTAACAGAAAATCCAGAAATGGACAGGATTCTCAAATAAATTAAGGGTGTGCTTTCAGACTTACATGCTGAAAAAGGTATATACACTCACCCCCATGCAGTTCATGGGACAACAAAGGTCTCTCAAAGGGGCAAGATTCACTCAATGAAATTTGGTTGACAGTAGGTCATTCACAACCTCTGTCACCTGTGTTACTTTTCTCCATGCATGTAACCAAACTTGAGACGACTGTCCTTTTTGTCTGGTTTCAGTGGGGTTAGGTATGCATTTGCGAAAATGAATGGGACATTTGGGGCTATCATTTACAGTGGATCCATAAAACTGCTATGAGAACTAGAACAGCAAAACAGAGTTTAGAGACATGACTTACCCTATGGCACATGTAGGATCCACCTTTCTTCACCCGGTCTTTCCCAGAAGGGGGACCTTTCTACGGATCAAGAAAAAAGGCTACATTAGACCAGAAATCAAAGCTGCCCCTTACACAGTGGGAGGAAACCCACTTTGATCCAACTAGTTCTCTCATGGTTGCCTAAACTCTCCACACGCATGCATTTCTACTCGTAGGTTTTGTATCTGTATTCATGGGCCCTCCCAAATGCCCACCTCCCCAAATCCTACCCATCCTCTAAGGCCCACCTCAAGTTTCCACTCTTTGGTGAAGTCTTCGTGACAATAGGAAGCAATCCTGCCTCTAAGTCTCTACAGCATTTCTTGCCTAGATGACTAATAAGCAGCTTGGCTGCACCTCTTACCATGTCATGTGAATATGCTAATTTACCCTGTGTTATAATTGGTTTACTCATCTACACTGGCAAGCCTCTTTAAATTATATGGGTTTTTTTGGAAACAAAAAAATTTTTTTGAGACTCCCTCTGTCACCCAGGCTAGAGTGCAGTGGCATAATCACAGCTCACTATGGCCTTAACCACCTGGACTCAAGCAATCCTCCCTCCTTAGCCTCCCAAGTAGCTACACCTACAGGCACGAACCACCACACTCGAGGTAATTTTCAAAAATTATTATTTGTAGAGACAGGGTCTCACTATACTGCCCAGGCTAGTCTCGAACTAATGGGTTCAAGTGACCCTACCACCTCAGCCTTCCACAGTGTTGGGATTACAGGAATGCACCACCACAGGCCAGAATTATATATTTTTATAATCCTACTGTGTAACACTTAATAAACACTTTGCTGACTGAATGAAAGAGTTTGCTTGTTAGCCTTTTTAAAAAAATTTAGGTGTGGTTTATTGATATAAAATAATATACAGTAAAATCCCATCTTTTTAAGTGCACAGTTCCAATGAGTTTTGACAAACATATATAATCATGTAACTGCTATCAAAATCAAGATACAGAACATGGTTTATCTTAAAAAAAAAAAAGACACATAGTGCTTACTATGAACCAGTCACAGTTTGAGTACTTTACAAATATTAACTCACGTATTCTCCACCCAACCTTGTAGGTAAATTAAGTAATTGGCAAAGTTAGTGCCACAGCCAGGCAGCCTTGCTCTAGAGTCTACACTCGGAGGCACTCCACTGTGCTCCCATTTAGAGACCTGAAGTGTAGGAAATTAGGCAGAAAAGAAGGCAAGAAAGAGCAGTAACTACCACTGTAATGACAATTAAGATCTACACAGAGCCAGTATAATGGCAAGAGCTTTTTCTAGGGAGGGCTTCAGATAAAAGTTCAAGGGAAACAAAAATCCTAAAGCATCAGTTGCCAAGATAAAAGCCTCAACATCAGGTAAGCTATACAGAACATCTGAGAGGTACTAATAGGCTTTAATAAGCCAGAACCATATCAGGGGACTCTGTGGGGATAGGGCTTTATCTCTTTTTGTTGTTGTTGTTCAAAAAGACAACTAATCACACAACTGCCTACTATTTGCTTATCGAAAATGTGAGAAGCTGGGACAACGCTGCTCCTATCTTACTTTTTCCTTTTCCTGTGAACCACCTATTTCAAGGGCCCTTACTTAAGTGGTAGAAATTTAAAAAACCACGTTTTCTCCAAGCATGGCTGATGCACTTTCTTGCAAATGTAAACCATGTGGGCAGAAGTGCACATTATCTTCTAAGCATTTCCAGGTACAGATGCTCCTTAGCATGGGATTAGGTCTTGTCCTGATGAATCCATCATAAGTCAAACATTTAATACACCTAACCTATCCAACATCACAGCTTAGCCTAGCCTACCTTAAACATGTTCAGCACACTTACGTTAGTCTGTAATTGGGCAAATCATGTAACACAAAGCCTGTTTTACAATAAAGTGTTGAATATATCATGTAAATTAATACTGAACCGAAAGTGGAAAACAGAATGGTTGTATGGATACTTAAAGCACAGTTTCTCCAGAAGGCATATCACTTTCGCACAGCTGTAAACTCAAAAGAATCTTAAGTCAAACCATTGTTAAGTAGGGGACAGTCTGTGCTTAGAAACACTCACAGACAAAGCCATTGGCTATTCCTCATTCATCTGCAGGGCTACAATATTTCCAAAGCCTTAAATGCTTAATGTTACATTAATAAACTTTTATCAATTATAAACAGGCACACTACAAATGTGAAAAGCTTCATGTCAAAATAATGGCCAGCAGCAGTTTTCTCCCCAGGAATATCTAGAATCTGACAAACTTTCTGAGTGAGTTTATTATTCTATAAAAGACAATTACCAAGAATTCACAGCAGCATCAATGAAAGCATTTTTTTTTTTTTTTTTTTTTTTTTGTTTTTTTTTTTTTTGTTTTTTTTTTTTTTTTGAGACGGAGTTTCGCTTTTGTTACCCAGGCTGGAGTGCAATGGCGCAGTCTCGGCTCACCGCAACCTCCGCCTCCTGGGTTCAGGCAATTCTCCTGCCTCAGCCTCCTGAGTAGCTGGGATTACAGGCACGTGCCACCGTGCCCAGCTAATTTTTTGTAATTTTTAGTAGAGACGGGGTTTCACCATGTTGACCAGGATGGTCTCGATCTGTTGACCTCGTGATCCACCCACCTCGGCCTCCCAAAGTGCTGGGATTACAGGCTTGAGCCACCGCGCCCGGCCAAGCATTTCTAACTGTGGAACTCTCTCATACAACGGTCACACTCTCCTATACTGTTTCTTGCTTGACAATTCTTGCATTACACTGCTTTAGGTGGTTCTCTGCATGCTCTGTTACAATGTATCAAATGACAGTTTAAATTGTGATTCAAGTCTCTCACAGTATCTGCCAACATGCAATTTAGAGTCCTCAAGTAAATCTAGGAACAAGAAGGAGCTGATTTGCCGTGAGAAGGCATGGGAACAAAATAGTTTCCTTTCATCATCAACTTCAATGAACTAAGTCTGCAATCAATAACTATGACACTTATCAGAGTGACACAAGTACTAATGACAGTCATCCCAGGCTGACACAACTGCAGCCCTTAACACAGTCCTCAATTTAGGTGACTGCTCAGCTGGTTCTTATAAATAAAACTCTTTTTTGCTAGCAAACAACATGACGATTAGTTAGAACTGTTTGAAATGTTTGCCACTTTGCCTTTAAAAAACAGAAAAATGACTAGGAAGGTATAGTGGGTTGAAGAGTGTTCCCAAAATTCATGTTCACTCACAGTCCCCCAGTGTCTGACCTGATTCAAAACAGGAACTTGGCAGATTTGTAATTTTTGTAATTAATATAAAGCCATATTGGACTAGGGTGGGCTCTAAAGCCAATGACTGGTGTCCCTGTAAGATGAGGAGAAGATGCACAGAGAAACAATGAGATATCTATGGGGTGATGGAGAGAGGGACTGGAGTGAGGTAGCGACAAGCCAAGGAATGCGAAGGATTCCCAGAAGCCACCAGGAACGATCCTCCCTTGGAGACTCCAGATGGGGTGTGCCCTGGATGGCACCTTAATTTCAGACTGTGAGAGGATAAATTTTTGTTGTTTGAAGACATTAAGTTTGTGGTAGGTTGTTATGCAGCCCTAGAAGACTAATCCAGAGAGCTGGGGAAGAGGGGTGTCTCCATTCCAGTTTGTGAAAGACAACATTAATACATCAAAATTAACACTGTCTGATGATCAAGTTATTACTGCAGGTTAAAACAACTTAAGTGGCTATTGGTGGTGGCTTTAAATACCTCATCTGTTTGCCTGTATACCTCAGCAGAAAGAGAGGCTGTAGGGCCCTACCACCTCCACTTCCGGTGCTCAAGAGTCTCCGGGATGCACAAGACTCCACTTGGAATTAACCTAGACGCCCATCAGCAGTGAACTGGATAAAGAAAATGTGATACATATACAACAAATCATGTTCTCTGAAGCAACATGGACAGAGCTGGAGGCCATTATTATTCTATGTGAATTAATGCAAGAGCAGAAAACCAAATACTGCATATTCTCACTTATAAATGGGAGGTAAACATTGAGTACACATGGACACAAAGAAGAGAACAATAGACACTGGGGCCTATTTGAGGGTGGAGGGTGGGAGGAGGATGAGGACTGAAAAACTACCTACTATTAGGCTGATTACCTGAGTGACAAAATTACCTGTACACCAAACCCCACGGCACACAATTTACCCATATAACAAACCTGCACATGCACCCTTTGCACTTAAAAGTTGGAAAGAAAAAAAAGTTTCAGTGGAAAAACACATGGAACATACAGACTCTGCCTATAATCAGGCAGGTACCACCGTGAATGTTGTCTTCAAAGGTACTATTGCCCATAACTGCTCTAGTCCCACAGACACTGAAATATTAACACGTTTCTAATGCTTGCATGGTTGCAAGGAAGAGCAAAACACACAGGTTTCTACATGTCACTCCCAATAACCTCAAAAGGCCAAGGTACAGGCAAGGTCCTCGGGGAAAAAAGATAAAGAAGCAACACTCAGTGTTAGTGCAGAGAAATCTACCCGTTTTAAACATCTGGGAAGACATGAAAGTCTTTACCAATGAAACTAATCCACTGCAGATGCCACAAACCACATACCAGTGAGACTGGCTTGTCTGGAGGAGGAATGAGTCTATAAGGAAGAGGGGTGACCAGCCTGCTCAGGGCTGCCGGGACATTTTTCACAGCACCGTGACTGCACTCTGTGTAGTCAAGAGACACTTCCCTGTCCCTCCTTGTCATGCCCAATACATTGACAAGGAAAGCAACAGAAGGGATGGAGAGTGTGAGAAATTGCCATCACTCAGCAGTCAAAAGGCACTATTAGCAACCTGGATGGGACTGAAGACTATTATTCTAAGTGAAGTAACTCAGGAATGGAAAACCAAACATCATATGTTTTCACTAGTAAGTAGGAGCTAAGCTATGAGGATGCAAAGGCAAAAGAACAGCACAAGGGACTTTGGAGACTCAGGGGAAAGGATGGGAAGGGATGAGGGATAAAAGACTACAAATAGGGTGCACCAGAATCTCACAGATCACCACT